ACATCTGCCCACTGTTAACAGGTTTCCAGAACAGTCTTGTCTCCAGACAATGGCAGGAGAACAGAAGGCAATGTTCGAGAGGGAGGCGTCTGTCTCCCTCACCGTCTGTCTCCCTCACGTCTTCGTGCAGCAGCAAGGAAAGCACCCACACTTTGCCCCCCTCCCCAAAGAGGAGAACCACGGTGAGGGACCCCTCTGGGGAGTCAGAATTGAACACAAAGACAGCAAGTTTGTTGGGGGTTTTGTAGGAGGAGTTAGGGGCGACCCAACACTGTAGCAGACTCTAAATGACTCGGGTCAAGATGAAGCTATTCTATCAGAGGCAAAAAAAAAAAAAAAACCTGCTCATCCACCAAAGGTTCAAGTTGTAACTTCTAGGCCCGCCCCCCAATGGGTGAACAGACAGGTGTAGGCACCCACATACAACATCACTGACCAGAAGGCACCACCAAACAGCCAGCTCCCAAACCCACCACTCCCACTTGTTCTGGGTGTAAATGCACCTAGCACACTTTGTACTCTTACCAACTCCAGTCTCCGGGAGACCAAGGTTATCAGACATAAAGAGCTTGTAAAAACCAATAAAGATAAACAAGATGAACAGAGGGAATGGTGCAGAACACACACGCCCTTCACCCAGAAGTCTATGCTATAAACTTACTCACACATGTGCATAGAGATACACTGAATTGCTCATTGCAGCCCTGTGTTGTATAACAACCACCACCAAAAAATGGAAGCATAAATACCATTCTATCAGAAAGTGCTTACAGTAGGCTTTAAGACAAACAAACAAACAAAGCCAAACTCACTACCACCAAGTCTATTCTGACTCATAGTTTCCATATAGGACAGAGAAGAACTGTCCCTGTGCATTTCTGAGGCTGTAACTCTTTACAGAAGTAGAAAGCCTCCTCTTTCTCCAGAGGAGAGGCTAGTGGTTTTGAACTGCTGACCTCAAGTTTAATTCACTATCCCACTCAAACTCAAACTCACTGCCATTGTGCTGATTCTAACTCATGCCGACTTTATAGGACAGCGGGTGCAGCTACCCCTGTGGGCTTCCAAAACTGTAGCTTTTTACGAGAAGAGAAAGCCTCATCTTTCCCCATGGAGTGGTTTCTGGTTTCAAACTACTGACCTTGGGATCACAGCCCAATGCATAAAAATAACCACTATGCCGCCAGGGCTCCATCAAAGTGGGCTGCGTGCATAGGATTAGATAAAAATGCCATCAGTAACTGACTGCCAATAATTTAGAAAACTTAAGTGAAATGGGTAGGTTCCTAGAAATACATAAATTACTGAAATGACTCAGGAAGGGAGAGAATATCTGACTAGACGTCTAACAAGTAAAGCAAATGAATTCATAAACCAAAAACTACACAAAGAAAAGGCACGGGTCCAGCTGGCTTGGTGAATTCTACCAAGCATTTAAATAATTCATACCAGTTCCCTGAGTTGCGGGCTCTTATCTGTAGCAGTGTACATATTCTGGTCTAATCCGATTTGTTAGGTAGAATTGAGGTCATGATAGTGGGGGGAAGGAAGCACCAAAGAACTAGAGGAAAGTCATGTCTTTCATTGATGTTATACTGCACCCTGACTGGCTCATCTCTTCCCTGTGACCCCTCTGTGAGAAAACGTCCAATTGTCTACAGATGGGCATTGAGTCTCCACTCCATGCTCCGCCCCCCGGCCCCCCATTCACCTTGGGTATGGTTTTATTCTGAGTCTTAGATGCCTGATACCTG